ACCTACACACTGACTCCTGCATTTTAGATTGCTTTCCAGTGGATGGATTGAAAGTCCAAAGCTGCACTTGGAACGGGGCTGCCAGAAGGACTCTGCAGAGCAGTTTAAGTCTGGGGAAGGGCCACAGTGCTTTGTTCTCACAGAATCACAGAATGGCCTGGGTTGGAAGGGACCTCAAGGATCATGAATCACCAACCCCCTGCCACATGCAGGGCCACAAGCTCCCCATTTAATACCAGACCAGGCTGCCCAGGGCCCCATCCAACCTGGCCTTGAACACCTCCAGGGATGGACGGGGCATCCACACCTCTCTGGGCAGCTGTTCCAGCACCTCACCACTCTCATAGGAAAGAGCTTCCACCTGACATCCAACCTAAGTCTTCCCTCTTTCAACTTCAAACCATTTCCCCTCATCCTGCAGTTATCTACCCTTTCAAAAAGCTGATTCCCCTCCTCTTTGTAGGCCCCCTAGGTTCTACCAAATTGTATGTGCCATATTAGATATTGTGTCTTTCAATCTTTCACTTCCATCTTAGCATGAAATTCTAAAGCCTGTGGCATTTCCCTACTACTACCCTCATCTGGGTCCAGGAACAGGAAGAGGCAATGGGCTGGTGTTGTCCAACCACCGACTCCGGTGTGCAGCCACAGGAGGACACAGAGGACACAGTCAGCCATCACTACCCAGCTAGACTTCATTTCAAATGTTTCTTCTTGCTAGGCACCAAACACCTCACCTGTTTGCCTCTGAATAAGGATGCCATGCCCCTCCAAGGCGTGTTTGCAAGCCACATCCAACAGCTGCTGGAAGCCAGGTGTACCATAAATCAATAAATATTCCACAGCAAAGCTATATTAACTGCTTGCCCCTAAAGTGCTGTTTAGTGGCATGTCGGGCACAGCTGTGTAATCAAAGGATTACAGAGCTCCCATTGCAGCACGTCTGCTGCTCTCCAGCTCCTCGCAAGCCTTCCCTTCTCCCTCACGTGTAAAAACCAAACCAAGCAACTGGGGTAGAATCGTAATCACGTCCTTCGGATCAGAAACACAAATGGAAAGGTCGTACAGACAAACAGCCAGTGTGGCTGAGCACACAATGTGCTTTCTGTTAGATACACACGGGCAGCCCAACATATTTTTAAAGGAGTGGGTCAACAATGCTACGCAGAACCAGGCAGTTTTAGTGAGATGGCAGTAAAAGTGGAGAGATCAGTGTAATTCAGGCTGCTTTGAGATAAGAGCTTGTGGGAGCTTACAGATCCCGTCCCCTCGTGTGAATAGCTGTATTTAGTCTCCAATCTGGCACCGCAGTTCTTCAGTTAAAAAGCAACGCTGCACTCCACTAATTGCTTAAATAAATAATACTAATTTGTGGGGGAAAACACTGAAAAAATTGTTCTTTTATTGGAAACGTACCTTATTTTTCCACCGTGGTTTGCATTCTTCAGCCAAGAAGTGTGATGGGAACGCAAGGTAAGAGGAAAATGTGGGTGGGGGAGGACTGAGCCTGAAGAGAGCCCAGCTCAAGCCAGGGGAGGCTCCTGTAAACTGAGCTTTGGAAATGGGGCAATTCACATCACCTGAGTTTTCAGAGCAGCACCGAGTGATTTAACAGCACATTTCCTTGCAGTTTCTGGTGGCAGGATACATAGCCCTTAAGGACAGAGTAACTGCAGGTGTAATTAAAACCTAGGAGGTAGAAGGAGTATATCGACACCTACTGAAGTCATGGCTCTCTTTGCCTGAGTGACACATTGGTACTGAAACAGCAGCACAGCTGGATGTTGCAGCTCCCTGAGTCAGTATGCCATTTGGGCAACATTAGCTGCTGCCTCTCTCCCTATGGAAAGTGCCTGAACAACGTTTAGAACCCAAAATGTAAAAGTAACACAGTGCTGAGTTACAGCTTCTTAATACCATAGAATGGCCCGGGTTGAAAAGGCCCACAATGCTGATTCAGTTCCAACTCCCTGCTATGTGCAGGGTCACCAACCAGCAGCCCAGGCTGCCCAGAGCCACATCCAGCCTGGCCTTGAATGCCTGCAGGGATGGGGCATCCACAGCCTCCTTGGGCAACCTGTTCCAGTGCCTCACCGCCCTCTGGGTGAAAAACTTCCTCCTAATATCCAACCTAAACCTCCCCTATCTCAGTTTAAAACCATTCCCCCTTGTCCTATCACCATCAACTCATGTAAACATGTAATAAACCCATATACACATATATACATATACACATATATACATATAAATGTAAACCGAAGTAATGCTGCATCTTTGAACAATGGAATTTTTTTAATAATGAGAAGGATCCCCCATCCAGCCAGCAGATAGACTTTTTTATTAAAGAAACCCTTACATGGTGATGGGAATGCAGTATCATTATCAACAACACCCCCGTGAATTACTGCCATCCACCTAACTACATAACAGTTGGGCCAAAATGCTGGGATATGTTCCATTATTGAAAATAACGCCCACTGAAATCACCTGGGCTACCATCTCTGCCTATTGAAGCACCTGCTTCTCATACAGCTCCTGCCACAGGTGTCTGCTTCCATCCCACAAAAGCTAAAATCACCCTCTGTGACTCTTCAACAAGGTCTGAGACTGTTGTGGAGTGCTGGCAGGCACTGGGAGGTCATTAGCACAGAGGATAAATCACAAAATAATGACTTATCAATCAGTATTAGAATTGGTCATCCCAATTTGTGACCATTTCTGCACAAGTGTATTTACTGTGTCCAGAGGGCCAATGACTTTCTGGTTACTTCCATTTTTCGCACCATAAAAGCCTGCCATGTGTTTCAGATTATATTAATTTGATAGTTGCCAGCCTGTTTCTAGCAAATCAACCCATTCCAGCCAGTAACTACAGAGCAATATTCTGTACTTTAAGGCGACAGCTCCCAAATCACGCTGCCTCCAGGTACAAATAGCACAGTGTCTGTGTTGCTTAAAATAGCTTTAAAATATCAGCAGGATCTTATTTGCCTCTCTTTGATTATGCCCACATAATCCCATCCTTGCTAATGCTGCGAGTGGATTATATAACTTTATCCTTCCACTTCAGCCACACGAAATAATCCAAACACCAGAGCCTGCTCCAACCTGCTCATTTGGAGTTCCCAGATAACTCCTTTTTGTTTAGCAAAGAAGATAAAATCCATTACTGTCTTCCACTGCATTAGTGGAATTAAGTGTTTTGTCATGCAAATCTCCACTGTTTCATCATGTTCCTGTTCCAGACCCTCAAATAAAGCATTCTGAATTTGAGATTAGTCTTCCTATTACAAAATTTGAACCATAAAACTGTTTTGTTATTGATTTCAGAACTGCACGCTGGCTGCACTTGCAGGCAGAGGATCTAAGTGCCATTTAAAGGGAAAAAAACCCACGAATTAGTTTCCCTACTAAATCACCATAGAGGTAGTTTCATCCTTTCTGCATTCAAATTGATTTTGTTCCTGGTGGCACACGAAGAGCCAGATGAATACTTTGACTCAGTGCCCAACAGTGGGATGGCACAGCAACAGAGGAGCTCTCAAGTCAAGAGATGTGGGACAACATTTTGACTGCTATCAAAGAGAAGCCCCAGGACACCTATTCCATCAGTATTTACTGTTTAAGAGTGAGTATGTATATATATACACACACATACATACACACACACACATACATACACACACACACATACATACACACACACACATACATACACACGTGTCTCTATACATTAAATACTTTTATCAATTTATATGAATAGCAACAATATAAACGTACACACAGATTCACAGAGATGCTGTGACATCTCACTAATGGAAATTTCCCTTCTTGCCAGAGATCAGGCATTCCCCAGTTAGCATGAAGTGCAATGCTGTTCGTTTAGGCATCTGTTTACACCCGTGAGCACATAAAATTTTCAGCAAGACCTTAAAAATATTTACCCTGCACGAACAGCTCCAGCAAACTTGGAGTTCTAACCTGCAATCTGCTCAGCTGAGCGCTCTGCCCTTTTCTTGCTCACCACACACAAAAGGCACACGTTGGTTCTCTGGATGCTCATGATTTTCAAGAAGCGAAACTTTCCTTATGTCACATGCAAATAAATCAATAAGAAGACACTTTTAGGCCCCAAACCATAGAATACAATTAAAAAAACTACTTATATTTCCATATCTGAAAGTTTGATCAGTGTTGAGATGCGCCATCTAAGAACTGAACTCTGTCATCCTGCTCTGTCATCCCAGGGCGATGCAGAGTAGTGTTACAACGAAGCAACCACAGGAACACAACCGACTAAACCCCCCCTCCCCCCCAACAACTCACTTTATGACACCGACAAAGTTCAGACAGAGAATTGTTGCTGAAGATCCTCTCACCATAAAAGCCCATCCCCAAACCCTGACTGCACTCTCGGCAGATGCACGCAGGAAGCTATTTTCACCAGCTAACAGCTCGCATTTAAGAAATACCCCTCTTCACCTAAAAATACGCAGCGGTGAATGGCAACATCCATCCACAGCTTCATTCCAGAGACGCGCTGCCCGAATGGGATGCAACCCTCATGCAGCCGCTCTCCCAAATCTCAGCAACCGGCACAGCGCTTCCCCGGCACGCTCAGCGAGGAGCCGACAGCGAATCTTTGTCACCGTCCCTAAAGCAAATCCCATTATCCCCGTCACCATCCCTCCGGCAAACCCCATTCCCCGCGCCCCGCGTGTGGGCACATCCCCCCGGGTTCCCCCAGCACCCACCCGCGGTGAGGGGAGCTCCCAGACCCCGCTTCCCAAGGCGGGGGGTTACGGGGGTACCGGCACGCTTCGCTCCGAGCTCGCGGTTCCTCCGGGTGGCGACGGCGGCAGCAGCAGCATCGCACCCCCGGGGCCGCCCCCTCCGGGCTCCGCGATGCGTGCTTCCAACTTCCCGCAAAGTCCCCGCTGGCCTCCTAAACTTGAGGAGAGGTGACCCAGGGAACCTCAAACCCGGCGATGATCTCTTACCTCCTCCTTCTCCCTGCAGCCGGGAGGCGCGCCCGCAGCTCGCTCCGTCCGCCCATCCACGCTGCACCCGCCGCCTTCTGCCCTGCGGGAGGGGGAGGAGGAGGAAGAAAAAGAGGGAGGGAGGGAGCAGCCCCGCGCCACTCCTCGGCCGCGCTGCGCAGCCCGTTAGGAGGCGTGCTCTGCTCCGCGGGGGAGGAGGTCCCCAGCAGTGCCCCCCCCCCCCCCCCCCAAATATACACACGCATTTACGCGCTTCGACCCGCCAGAAGGAAGCGTTCCGAAGGAGATGGGCTTTTCCCGAGGGATCCCGCAGGAAATTCCGTCCCTCCCGAGCAAACAGTGCGGGATGCTGGGGGGAGGCGGCATCGCAGAGCATGGCGGGGGGGGGAATAGGGGGAGGTAGAGCCGAGGAGGGACGCGGCTCGTGTCGGGTCCCCATCCCTCCTCGCGGTACCGCCATCGTCAGTTTTGTAATGAAACCCTCACAAACACTGAATAAGAAGCCAGAAGCCGGTACTCAATAAGTACAGCGTTCATTAGTACCCTGCCGTGTGTATGTATACGTGTTTATGTGAATGCACAGCCCATTTATTAAACCGTCCACATAACATGTGCTCATACCTACTGGGACACAACATGCTGCTTCTTATCCCAATGTGTGCAGCTGGTGTGTGTGCACAGCCCTCCACGCTGCCCTCCAGTTGCTGCATGAAGCCTCGGATGGGCTTCAATCCACATACTCAAAGCTCAGCAGTGTTACTACCAACAAGTTGATGTAATGAAGTATGAGCTAAACGTGAAAATACTGCATTTTGGGACAAGGTTTTCCCTTTCAGAAGCATCTAAAGCATCCATTTGTGGGAATATCCTTTGAAGTGAAACCATAGTAAAATACAAATTTAATAGTATGAGAAACCACGTATATTGTAATAGTAAAATACAAAACAGAGCCTTCCAAACTATACTTAGGATTTGGAGCCAAGCAGGTTAAGAATTTCCAATGGGTGATTGATTATACACCTGTGAGACCATGTGTAGATAATGGAGGGATGGACTTAAAAACACACATCCACAGATTTCCTTCCCTGTGGTGCATGTGAGCTCAGGATGGATTAGAGAACCTCTGCTCAGGTCACGTTGGAATCTCACTGATTTTTCATTGTAAAATCCTCCCAGAGCAGAACAGTTAACTGAGGGAAACCTGTGACTTTGGGAATATTCATACACACTTCACATTCCTGCCCTGGGTTAAACATGCTGCCCTTCATGGCCTTTTTAGGCCTGATGAGATGCTCTGAACTGCAATTACGTGCAGTCATATCACTACATAATTATACTCCCTTCCTTCCTTTTTATGTATTTTAAACAATTTCAAAGAAACGTCAGGAAAACAAAATCTTTGCTCCTTGGGGAATGCTCTGTGGCGCTGTTCCCTACCGACAGCCACCTGGAGTCAATGTTTTCCTGCAGCATCCACAATGTCTCAGATAATCCCTGAAGGTTGTCTCTTCACAGTGTATTTTCAGTCCTATCTGGTGAGGTGGAGAGGGAAACCCAACATGTTTGGGCATCATGAGTCATCTCCAGCAACTAATTATGTTATCACGGACAATTATACTCGGGGGGCAAAAAAAGAGCAGTCGGAATAAATCATTTCTACAGCCAAGTTTGGGCTTTGGTTCTCGTGATTCAAGATCATAGAATCATAGAAGCGCAGAGATTGAAAAAGACCTCTAAGACCATCAAGCCCATCCCCAACCCGTCCCCACCATGCCCACTGACCATGACACTCAGCGCCGCATTCTCCCTTCAATTTCAATACAGATTTCAATAGAGAAATCATAGGAACGTTGTCCCTATCCAGGTTGGTTTGCATAAAACAAAACCTCCTGACCTCCACCTCTGTCCGTGTGATTTCTGCTGCTTTCCAGGCTCACCCTGCAACACAGAGGATCACCCCATTTCTCAAACAAGTTTGAACATATTCCTTTGCTCTGAGCAAGTTTATCTAGCAGAAAAAGGTGAGACAGCCTTCTTTCCCATTGAAAAGTACAACTGGGAGTGCACATGTATAAAGGTGAAAGGTGATTTTTTTAAGGCAAGCCAGTCCTTCCCCATTGTCATCACAAGCTGCTGACCATGCTGGAGGCAGAGGCCTGGAGGAGAGGCTCACTGGCTGGGTTTGCCCATAGAGCTGCACACTGACAGCCAGATGTAACTTTGTGATAAACTAGTAGGAATGTGTCTTAAGAGCACAGTTTTGATGGATACTAATCTGGGGAAATGGACTGCACTGTAGTGTCAGCAACTTTAGGTTACTCTTGCAAAGAGAGGTGGAAATGCTGACGTTTATGCTCTGTGCCTCATGCACTGAATGCAGAAGTTCATTGCCCATAACCACCCCAGTGGCTTTTGCTTCCTGCTCCTGCTGCTCTCGGGGAGCCCTTTTCCCATGACCTCTCACCCCCAGGCACAGTTTCCAAAGCCTTTCTCAAGGCTTGGTTGGAGTTGGAAGGGACCTCTAAAGGCCATCTGGTCCAACCCCCTGCAATGCACAGGGATGCCCACAGCTTCCTCAGGCGCTCAGAGCCCATCCCCTGACCTTGGGTAGCTGCAATGAGAAAGTCCGAAAGCCCCTGATCTGCAGGAGCTATCAGGTTGGGATTGCCCCCTGGCTGGGGACCTCTGGCTGCAGCCGGGCAGTTTCCATGCAGTAAGCCCGAAGAACCACAAGGTGATGTACGTAGATATGCGTGGTAACAGTTATAGGAATCACAGCGCTGTGCTGCTGATCCGCTCTGCTGATCAAGGCATGGCCAAGTCTGATTTCATGCTGATATTCAATCCTTTTCAATGCACAGTTGCTTTCTAAGACAGGCTGGGGTCAGGGCTGCCACACCATGGTATTGCTTCCCTTTTGGCACTTCTTTCAGCTGCACAATGGCTCTATGAGAAAATTAGAGAAAGATTTATTCTTCCTTGTGAACTGCTTTCCCATTAAAATATTGGTACAGCTCTCACCAGAATTAATGGAATGTGTATGTTGTAAAGAAATGCGTTATTACTTTTATTTTCCCCATGGTATCCTGGCAACAGACACATTCTTAAAATTCAGATCACTGGTTTCATGTCTTATATATCCTTTGGTGCTGGGTAAAGGATATATCAACCTTCAAAAGCTCTGAACATTTCTTTGCTGTTTTCCCAACTTGCCATTGGGAGTGATGCCTACTTCCCATACATCCCTGGATTGCATCTAGGAGTCCTTTATCAGTCTTTAATTGAAGACAATGGGATATTTTTTTACAATCATAGGCAAAAAATAATACTGCAGCAGGGTTAGACAAATGTGTCAGGATTTAGTTTCCCATAAATGGTCCGTTAGACTTTAACGATGGATGTTCAGAGCCAGTTTCCCTTTGCCTAACACCATCCTTTTATCCCAAGTGGTACGTCCTTCAGCACCCTAAATAATTCCTTTTTATTTGTGATATTTATGCCCTCCAAGTACTCGTTGAAGGGTATCGTTTCCCTCTTAGTCATCATTTAGCCAAGTGATTCATATTAAGTTCCTTTAATCTTCGCTCATAACTCAGTCTCTTCAGACCCTTAATCATTTTTAATGCTCTTCTATGAATTCCTTCCAATTTGTCTGCATCTCTCTGGCAATGAGGTACCCAGAGTTGAACGCCGTATTTTAGGCGTGATCTCCCCGCAGCACTACAGAAGATGTTACCTCCTGCTACTTTTATCTGCCACTCATTTAACAACATGCTGGAATCACGAAGTAGCCAGGAATCAATTAAAATAGATTTTAAATGGTTCAGCGCTCAAAATTACCATAATGCTTTTGTGGCTCCGCGTGCAACAAGAAGGCTTGGAGCTGGTTGAAGCCTGCTGCTTTGGGAAATATGTGCCTTTAGCTCCATGGGCAGGCAAAGCTTTTCAGCTCAGTGCTCTGTGATCCTCTAAAAGAATACGAACGAGGAGTTGAGATTTAGAAGAAAGTGGAGATGGGTTCCAGTTGGCACCAGAAAGAGCTCACGTGCCGATTTGCGTTGCTCCTCCTCTCAAGCGTGTGGCACCAACCAAGGGCTCTTCACAGCCGTGGTCCATCCATGTGAGCTGGCAGCCAAGAGGCTCAACATTTGGCTGGTTCTGGCTCTTATTTAAATCATTTGTTTTCATGAAGAAAACAAATCTTCCCATGTGCACAGCTCAATTGTTGCCTATTGCTTTTGTGAGTGAGGAGGGAAGAGCGTTGCTTTGTGCTGCAGTAATCTTTTCTCCTCTGCGTCATATATTTAGAATGTCTCCTCTCCAGGAACATTATAAAATCCACATCTTTTACCCCTGTGCCTTTGGCAGGGAATTGTAGGTCACTGGGACATTCTGTGTGCACTCCACTGCCCAGCATTTCTCCTTCCATGTCATGCATTATTATCCTCCAGCTCCTGAATTCAAAATGAAACATTTAAAATTTGATCAGGTACGTGTTCTAACCAATACTTGGATTCTACAGCTCTCTTATTTCCCCATGTTGACCATTCTGCCTCAAGAAAAATCAGATTAACTGTGTTTTATAAGAAGTTATGCATCTTATAAATGTAAGTACGCTTGCATACCCTATTCTTTCCCCCTTTGCCATCTGTTCATGCCTAAAGGCAAGTTCCAACCAAACCCCAACCTTCAACAGCACCTTCAGTATTGAAAAAAGATTGTGGCATGAATTTAATGCACATTTAATAAACATGCAGTCATAGAATCATAGAATTACAGAATATCTTGAGTTGGAAGAGACCTGTAAGGATCATCGAGTCCAACTCCCAACTCCACACAGGACCACACAAAAATCAGGCTATGCATTTATGCATGCATGCATCTTAAGAATTATTCACATTCTGAATAAACACTTTATATTGCTTGGGGGAAAAGATAATAATGAAAAGAAAAAGACTGTTTCTTTTAGCTGTGATATGTAAGTATTTCAATTACCAGAGTTGTTTTGTTTGCTGAGTACTTGGGGATCATGGTCACTCTATGGACTTCCATTTGCTGCAGTAGAAATTCTATATATGAAGAGCAAATCCCGTGACTGTATAAGAGGGGATCCAGGAGGTGCTCAGAGCTGGCAAGACGCTGCTAACTGGCTGCACTGAGGTTAGAGGGGCCGAAATGTGGAGCCCAACCACAGGCTG